TCAGTTGTAGGAGTAAAAATAACTGGAATCTGCAGAAGCCCATCGCCTAGATAGAAGAAAATAGAACTGAGGTGGTACTCAATGAGAAATCTTCCCGGCTCGGCATGCCAGTCACTATAGCACACGACGTTCTAACATCCCCCGGATGATTTTGCCTGAATCGTGGTGATGGCGATGTGGAATTTGTGTTGACCCCTACCTGTTTGAGCAACACGATTCATCAGGCGTCTCTCATCCTGGAGTAGATTTCGGAGCCTCAGAGAGGTCGAAGGATAGTTCTGTGGAACTTCGGACTCGACATGAACATCAATTGATGCCTCGGGTTCTCGTAACGGAGACCGTTTCTCCTCAGCTAGAGCAGTACGTTCAGATGATCGCCGGCCCTCAATGAAAACATTGATCCTCGGAGTGTTTGACAACTCAGTGAATCCATTCTTCCCAACAAAGTCAATGAGCTCCCTAGACTCTTTCCCTAAAGACAGAATGAAGCTTTTCACATTGAAACCGTCACATCTAGTCGTACTCGTTGAGGAGCTTTCACGATTGAAACCCAGGGGAGTGTCTAAGTGAAGAGTTATGCTTGGATCGCCTTCGACCCCCGATACGAATATCGTTAGGAGAATGGTTGTGCTCGCCATGCCCATGAAGATTTTCATAGTAGTACAAGTGCTACAACACACAGTTTTCTGAATAATATTTCTCTACGGGGAATACTGAGTGGATGGAAACCTATTCGGCCCGAAAGCTCAGGAAAAACATGGCCAAACTACATCACAAATATCGGCGAAACGCGCTTTCATGATCCGGTTGTGGGATCTTAGATCATATAAAGTAGGACAGGTGTGCTGGGTTCAGCGGATTTTGAGTAGTTAGAATGTTGTAGTCACTCGAAGACACAAAAGACTGTTCTCCATAATTGTCTTATAATTGTGATGTAGCTGTGTATCTAGCGTCAAGCTAGTATGTCAGTCTGCTACGATTGAACTTCCATAGACCTTTTAAGCTGTTATTAATCTTACGTTCTACGTGAGACCAGACGGTGTTTCGTTGACTCAAAGGATATTGGAAAACCGTCATATTTTACCGGGATACATTATGTCGTCGAGATTGTTTTCGGATGCTGGTACTGAACGTCTTGATGATGCTGAAATTATGGAACTTGCTCGACGGTTTGCTCATCTAAGGTTGTCTGATCCTCCTCATGCTGCTCGGTCCGATATCGCTCACAGCAACGTCTCGTGCTATTCGTTCCTGCGATCACTTATTTCACCTCGTCGGTCTCGTAATTCTGGTTCACAAAGTGATCCAGGTGTTGTGCCTCCATCGCTAAATGCCTCTCATAGAAGTGCTCTCCGTGCCAGTGATGTTTCGCCAGTTCCTCCATCAGTGCCTATAACTACAGTTATTGATGGAGATACTCCTGTTGTTCCTGGTGGAGTACCATCTCAAGTACAATCGTTAGGGTTTTCTGCGTTGGAATTAGAACGGTTCCACGATTCTGCCCAGAAGCGTGCTAATAATGCAGCTCTACCGGTTGGTGGCAAGTATAAGGGCTATGCCGATACTCGTACTATTGAAGCCTTCTTACAACAAGTCCATCGTTGTCCTTCTTGGAATGTTGGCTCTGTGCCCTCATTCTTCCGTTCGTTTTATTTGGAAAGGTGCCTTGATGAATCTGTTTGTGATGTTGTGGTTGACATTGTTGATCGTAAGCTTCAAGATGATGGTAAAGTAGGATATGATCGTTTGATGGCTAGGGCTCAAATGATGGAGAAGATTCTATGTTCGAGGTTTGATTCTATTCATGCTCAAGGTATCTTAGTTGAGCAATGGCAATCATTGAAATGGTTGCCCGGTGAGACCGACTTCGAGACGTTTTATTTGAGATTCCAGCAAGTTGCAGAAGCTTATTCGAGACAGAGAGGCGAGGCATTGCGTGAGTCCGACTTGTCGTCTAGACTTTTCTCAGCACTGCCATCCGATTTGAAGGAGCGTGTTATTTGGTTATGTGGTCCTTGTCCGTCCTATAAGGAATTGCTCAACTTTGGTAGAAGAATGAACTTGGTATATGTGAGAAGGAAGGAGGAGAAGGTTAATGGTGTTCGAGGCCCCCTTCGGAAGGCTGCAGTTAATGTTGTTAATGATGTTAGTGAAGGTTTACCAGTTATGCCAATTGAGGAGGGTGTTGATGCGACAACTACTACTACTGGTGTCCAGACTAACTGCAAACTATTCGTCAGCAATCTGAGTTATGACGTGAATGAGAAGCAAGTTCTGGATGCGTTGAGAGCTGTTTTAAAATTGTCTGGTGTAATACCTGTATCGGTGAGGTTGTTTCGTGATCGAGACACTGGACGCAATAGAGGTTTGGGTCTAATCGAGTTTCGTGATCCTAGCAGTGCGAAGAAAGCTCTATCGCTAAATGGTAAACGATTACTTGGTCGTTCTATTAGAGTTAGACCGGATAATGGTGGTCAAGGTGTCAAACGTCGACGTGTTGAAGATGATCAAGATGCTCAAGCAGTGAATGAGGTGGTTCAGCAGCAGCGTGATGTGCAGGTTGCGGCTGTCGAGCAGGAGGACATTGTAGAAGACCCTTGCGAAAGCTCACCCAAGGAGTCCTCAGAAGCAGCTTATGTCGTCCAGACCACTGTTGAAGAGGTTAACGTTGGTGTTGTGAATTCATCGGTTGAGCCTAGTATTGTTATTGATTTACGACGTATTAATACACAAAATGGAGGGAATTGCCCGTTAACGACAATTCATACGGAAGTAGTTCCTAATCCTGATGATCCTGCTGACTGCCATACTCTCGACTGGTTGCTAGATAGTGGTTCTGCGGTCCATCTTATTTCTGATTCAGAAGCTGGTTGGTTGGGATCTGCTAGAGTTATCCCTCTGCCGTCTCCGATTAAGCTCTCTTTTGCCAACGGTACTACTCAATTGGTACATGAGGCGAGAGAATTGAGCCTTCGTTGTGATGGTCAGAAGTTTAACACTACTGTTTTGCTTGTACCAGGTTTAGCTGTTCCAGCAATATTGAGTCTTCACCAACTGGTGCATGACTTTGGTTCAGTAGCCTGGCACCTTTTGGCTCCGGGTGAAGAAGTTCTACGATTAGGGCATGATGTTACTCTGAGATCTACTAGTAATGAAATTTCACTTGATGCAGTGGGGTCCGTGAACGCTGTCGTGAACGCCGTTCCTTCCTTAGCTTTTGTGTCATCCTTTCCTGATGAAAAGTTTTCTCACTGTAGTTTGCGGAGTCTACGAGAGGCCTACCAGGAGAAACAAGTAGTTGACTTGGAATCTAAAGCTGTTACAGTAGATGTGGTGAATGCCCGTTCTCTTCAGCCTCACACTACTGGTCGTGATGACCGTCCTCCTATCGCTGTGGATTTTGTGGCTGATGAATAAGGAGATCAGCGAGCTCGTGTATCATTGCCATGGCTGTCAGGCCAAAGGCCTAACAGTAAGTTACATTCCCTTCGACGTGATGTTGCTATTGCTCGTGATGTCGCTACTAGACGGAAGTTAGCTGCAATGGGACCCGAATGGGTGGTGCTTTTGAAGAAAGAAGTTGCTAATATGGTTGCTCAGGGTCATATCCGGGAGCTCACTGAAGAAGAATTGGCGGCAGATCCGCCAATGATGGCTGCTGTCACGGCAATTCGAGAAGGTCACCCTACTCAACCTGTGCGGGTAACAGTTGATGCGAGACCGGTTAATCGCTTCCTAAGTGCTGGCGACACGTCTGGTCTTCGTCGAGCTCTGCGTAGTGTACTTCTCCGTTGGAGATTGAGTCCATGGGTCTCTTGGGACGACGTAACTCGTGCTTTTTTGCAGATATGTCTGCATAAACACGATGAGGTGATGCTTAATGTATGGAC